ACAATACGATTTTCTTTAGTACACCCCTCCGTTGCTAATAAGCGAAAGTAAACACTGAACTGATTACTAAACGAATATGTATATGTGTAGACTCTGTTTATCTATATTTATGGCAAGATCAGGTATATGAGGCAAAAGTAATTTTTTTAAGTACCGTTGTAAAAATGAAATATTTGCCAGAGATTTGTTCAGAAGACGCTGCAACCAAGTGAATTGAGTTATAACCACTTCTTAAATATTTTGTGATTATTGAATGAAAAATTATTTCTAATAATCTTGTAGGAATATTGAATATTTATATTGCTTAAACTTCAATTGTGTGGCTGTTGTATCACAGATTTTCCAAAAGAAGTCTACCATTACAAAAATAGCTTAAACGGTATGCTACTCAATACTTGTAGAATTTATTTTGGTTGAATCGAAACGACACTGGGAGTACTATAGACAACAAGCGCTATAGACTTCCCTTAAAATATAAAGTATAATGAGCGAAACTCTTATTCTTAATTTTTTTTCGATATTTAAGATTTAAAATAAGCCATTATTTATGGTGGCTTTATTGTTGTTAGCAGCATAAATATTCCCAACATTGTTTTGAGGAAAGCAACCAAGATGGTTTTTATTGGTCGCAAAGAATTCGAACGTGAGTAGTCGATATTAAAAATTGCAAAAGATTGGCTAGCATTTTGAGAGCAATATTTTCCTACAAAAATATCAATATTAAAAGATACTGGGAATTGTCTATATATTATATTTACATGATGGTCAACATAGTTCTGAATTTCAGCTTGAATGAGTCACCAACGAAAATCATAGACATCTAAATACAGTATGATATATATATTAAGACTCTTTGAAGGTTGTCTCTTTTTTAATATTATTAGCCTTTGTAAAAATTAACTATTTTTCATTCATATTTGACTTTCTAAGGTATACGACAGCGTTGGAAAAATAATACCAAAGGGCGCATATTCCACCAGCCAGCATATTATACCACTATATTATACTAAACTGGTGTGTCGATTGATTATACACATCTATGAGTACCACATACGTGTATTACCAAAAGGCTCAAAATGATCTCAATTCCAAAAAATATGTCTGCTGTCTTATTAATGGTTTCAATAATATAGCAAATATATATTTTTACTATCTCTGACTCCCACTGTAACATACTATTGATCTGATTTAAGAAACCATTGAACGGATGTTTGAGGTATTCTAAATCACTTGAGTCTCCACGTTTTAGTGTAAATAAGGCCGCTTTATTGAACTTTTCATAAAATCTGCAAAAAAATTAATTGTTTTTTGTTCAGAAAACTTCCCTTAAAAAATATTCACATATGATTCAAAAATTGACTTGTGTAAAGAAAGAAAAGAAAAAACAATTTTTCAATACTGCACGCATATACAAATTATTTTCTAATTACAATATATAATCTTTTTTTAAATTTATGTATCGATTTATCTAACCAAAGTGCATTTTAGTTTCTAATAAATAATAAATATTTTCGTTTCTACAAATTAAGTACCATTTTGATTTATTATCCCCAACAATTTCACTGACTCATCAGTAATCCGAATTCCGAATTCACAATCCACAAAACCCGGAAATATTTGAAAGTGAGTAGTTAATGAACAAGTGCATTAACCCAGTAAAGCAACGAATCCCCAAATCATGCAAAATCATACTGCCAAGCTATTAATATATTTAGTTTAATGTGTTGTGACGATAAACGCATTTCAGTTGGGAATCTTAACACAGAAAATGCATAATGCCATAAATTCGCATTCTCACTAACGTATAGTCGCTCTCTTGCTCTCTCGCACCAAATAGATGTTCGAAAATGTGAGCTCTCAGTGGTTTGAGTGTGATATATAATATCTTTGGGTTACAGTGAGCGAATGAGTGAATGAATTGTGGGTTGTCAATTTTGAATGTGACGAAGTAACGGAATAACAAATTTCGGTCAATTTAATTACTATAAACAGTTTCTAACTTCTTTTGAACATAGCAATATAAGGAAAAAAACTAATTTTTGGAAATTATTGAGTTGTTTCTTATATTCACTGTTAATCCCTGTGTAACGGTGATCTGGTGTTTTGAGCGTTAAGCGATTAGAATATAAAATTTTATTACATTTGCGTGGTGTTATTTCAAATTTAATTTCTAAGGGCTTAGGAAAATTCGTTAAATTTTTTTATAGTATATAATTTAGGCATAATATTTAATATATTTTGGTTTCGAAAATATAACAGCTTAAAACAAGATATTAAATTTTTTTGTTGGAATATGGGTAAAGAAAGAATAAAGTTTTTAGAGCTATTATGTATTTGTTTGTAACGATCCTCCAACAGTTCAATACCTGTCAGCTAGTTTAAAGTTTCGATAGCATCTTTCTTTGCAAGTGAAAAGGCTTGACCTCAATTTAGACGTACAATCCAACTATGGTTAGGAATAATTTTATGTAAATTCCACAAAATACTTGCTAAAATAAGATATAATACCTATAAATATTTGAAATACACTGTAAAGCTCGGTTGGTCGTCGCTGTTGCTTTGGATCTGCTCTACCATGTTATGCACCTAAGTGTGGTATTTGCTGATAAATATTTTTACTAAAATGGCAGAACAATATATTATAAAAGAAGTCTCAAGTCATGATCTAATGAACAAAACAATAAACAATCCATTATTCAGTGACTAGACTCAAAAAATCAATGGAAGACCATAGAATAGGCAGTAGTATGAAATAAGCCAAGCAACAGAAATATATTACGGGAGATTTTTCTGATAACATAGCTATAGCATAACTGTTAGCATATTACTGCCATTGCGTAAACAGCATAAAAATTTTCACTAAAACATGTCGAACTTTGTGCTCGAAAATGTTTTTTGCTGCAAGTTCTTCTTCATTACTTTAATACGAATAAAATCTCAGGCGAAAGTCATCGTGTTTTGGTGGAAGTCTATGATGAACATGCTCGATCTGAGCAAATGAGCCAAAAATGATTTGCACAATTTAAAATATAAATTAAAGTAATTTTGGTTTGGAAGAGAGAGAATGTTCTTGGCGCCCGAAAATTTTAAAGATCAGGAATTGAAAGAACTACTCGATTAAGAATGTTGCTAAACACAAAAAGAGCACACACCATTTTTGGGGTCACTCAAGCAGCCATTGAAATGGGAAATGGGTGCTGTATGAAGTGAAGTAAAGAGATGTTGAAAGACGATTGTCGTATGTCAGTAAGGATGCTTGACCGCTACAAAAAGAAGTCAATTATGCATCGGACTGTGACTAGTGATGAAAAATGGAATATATTTGATAAAATCAGAAGAGCGTGCTGTTTTATGAGTTTTTAAAACCGGGTAGAACCACTAATGGCGAAAGCTGCCGACAATAACTCTTCAAATTGAAACGAGCGATTGCCGAAAAACGCCCGCTATTTGCGACTACATACGAGGCAATACTTTTCCAATAAGAAAACTCTCGGTTTCATGTTTTGATTTACTCACCTTATAGCCTTAGGCCTTAGACCTTAACCCTTCTGATCACCATTTGTTACGGTCGATGCAGAACGCCCCCACTGGAAAACGGTTCACATTAGAACAGTATAAAATTGGCTTGATTCGTTCCTTTTCAGATGATTTAAATTTATTGCCAAAGAAAAAATGTTACCTGAGTGAAATAACTTTCCTTTATGATTTATGAAGGCAAGCTTATAAAGCTGTCATTGCGAAAATAAAGGCAAATTTTTTTTCATGTTCAATAGATTTCTTACAAACAGTAAATAAATTTTAATCGCGTGGTTTAACAATGTATAAGTATAGTATATGTATATTTGTTATAGAGTTTTTGGGTTTAATCAGAAAAATCTTATCTAATATGTAAGTTAAACGACTAGAAATCTGACAAGACTCTCAACTTTAGATAATCATAATGATCTATAATCATTTAATAAAGCTCTATTAAATAGTATGGTCCACGAGATAGATATGTTAAGGGGCACACTTTGTGTTTTCATATTTCGATAGGTTGTACCTTTAAAAATAACATACTAAAACTTTTAATCGATAAATAAAATAATTTTTGAGTTAAAACCTTTTAAAATCTAACCAGCTACCAGTTTTCTGATCTGAACCAAAAACGGCCAAAATTTTGTGTAAAATTCAATATTTTTTTTAGCGCCGCCATTTTGTCAATCGTAGGTCATTGTACGGACAATACCTTCTAGTAGAGAGTTGTTTTTATGGTTTATCCACGGTAAAGTCCGGTATTACTGCAGTAGTGGAGGACTTATTAGCGCCGTGGGAGTTTGCTTGTATCTCGAAAAATAATTTAACTGTTTCTTCCTAAAATATGCATAAATAGTATATCCTTGAAACTTTACAATTGATGTATTTTTTTATGCCCAAAAATCGTCTTTTTCAATGCTGTCATACTAGGTGTCCCTAATAATGGTGGTAACATATTTCTTAACCGGCAACAATTATTACTTGACTCTTCTTTTCGGTATAAAAAAGTGTCAACATATTTAAATGTGAGTCACTGCAAGAATTTTTTTTATTTATTTATTATTATATATTTATTGACCTACATACATCATATGTTTCACACGAACACACGCAAACCCAATACTCAATCCACAATTCATCCTTATCAGCATATGTCTTATCAAACGGCGGCAGCATAAAAGTTTCAATATGTGTGTGTGCGTGCGCTACAAACAGGAAGCTGGCGGAACTTCGCTGTAACACTCACAAAACAAAATGAACTGAGAGCAGCAATACACGCTTCACAAGTTATCTATCGCGCTCTGCACGCGCCGTTACTCATACGTCACGTTGTGCATTTGATTTTCGAAATTAACTGCGAAAATTGTCGAATACGAAGTCGTGCGTTGGCATTCGGCACTGTGGCAGTAGTTAGACAACAATAGCTTCGTAACAAACGAATGTCAGCGTCTTGTTTTTGTTGTTCTGCTAACAGTAGTGTAATCGTTGTGGCATTCGCGCGCCGCAAACGAGGAAAAACTAATTTTCCACCAATGGTCTCGATTCAGTCTTGTGTCGGTATTAGCATTGGACGGGAACGTTTCCTCCGAACGACCAAAATAACGGTACAACTAGCGAGCGCGCTAAATGTGATTAACTATGCGGTAAAACAAAAAAAAAAAAAACATTGCAAATGCAATGTAGTGCACATTTTGCAAAAGCCGCAGACGCTTTTTTCGATGAATAAATAAAATATATTTAGGAAAAGGTAGTTTTGAACCAGTGAAAAATGAAGTGCTTTTCAAACTTAGACGCCGCTGAAGCGTGTGCAAGTGTATAGTGTCTTGACGCTGGTGCGAAAAGTTTGTTGCCGATAAACGGGAATCGAGTTGAATGTGCATGATGGTGCAAAAAATGGTGAATTCAAGCGGTATTAATGGCAACAATATACTAAGCAAAGGGCTGCAATATTTTTGAAAACCGATTGCCTGGATTTCTGAAAAATAAAAATATATTATGTGTGCCTCAAGTGAAGCTTTGGAGTTATGGTATAGAGGTTGAAGAAATAACAACTATTTGAACGAGAGAAAACATATAAAAAATTTTAAAATATATATAGAAAAATAACAACTTAAATCATCATAAAAAAAATACTACAATAATAATTTCAACTGGGTACAAATGCAAAACTTCCAAAAACGAAACGAAATTGTGTAATAGTGAAAAAGCAACAATTTGCTAACAGTGCCACAAACCTTGCGAGCGTCATAAATATTTGCCGGCATTCTTCTTTGCTTGCACAGCGACGTTGAATTACGAGGTGTTCGCCGCAATTTTGTGTGCGCTTCCGGCGTCATTTGTGCATTTCCGGACGGGCGGGCAAGCGTGCGTGCCAATACGTATACCAACAAACATACAAGCACAACAACAAAGTGAAAGTGTTAGCTGAGTTGGTGTATAAATGTAAGCCGTTATTTGTGTTGGAATTTGAAAATTATATTTGCAATGTCACAGCAGTTGTTGGCAGGCAATTTTTGTTGTGGTAATAATGTGACAGTGGCTGAAGAGAAATACTATTTTATTGCTTCTAAAAATATGTTAATTGAAATATTTTTAATATTTAATTTTTTTGAATTGAAACACATTTGGAATCAACAAGTATACCTAAAGGTTATTTAGTGGTAATATTCGTAATATATGTATATATGTATGTAAATACCTCTATACCATTTGTGGCATTTTTCATGGTGTCATGTTTGACCTTTAATATTACGTATGAAAGAAAATTTTGAAGAGAGAAATTAGCTAGATTTTACTGTAAGTATTCCAGTACAACAATTTAACCCTTTAGCAGCCTTTTTAATCAGTTGGTCTGTGTGATACTTTGTGAGTGTAGGCTTTATATATATATATAGGCTCAAACTTGAATCTTTAGAGGTTACAACCGTATAAAGCTTAAGTCTAATTGCCCTTTTTCCAAATTTATTATAGTAAAATATTTTACAATTATTTACCTATTTATTCTTTAACGGCAAGTATGACAGACAATGTTGGAGAAAAACTTAGTGCAATTTTTGTTCAAACACTCTTTCAAAACCTTTTAAGATTATAGTAATTTTGAATGAGTTGATCGAAGTGACAGGGTATATTAAGTTTGCCACGAAGTTTGTAACACTCAAAAGGAAACGTAGGAGACCCAACAAAGTATACCATATATAAATTTATCAGCGTGAGGAGCTTAGTCGATTTAGTCATGTCCGTCTGTCCGTCTGTATATATATGAACTAGTCCTTCAGTTTTTGAGATATCGACCTGAAATTTTGGCCTCATCCTTTTCTCAATAAGATGCTGTTCGTTTGTCGGAACCGCCGATATCGGATTACTATAGCACATTGCTGTCACACAACGATCGGTATCAAGTTCTTATATCGAAAACTCTTTCATTTGACGAGATATCTTCAAGAAATTTAGCATAGATTATAATTCAATGCATCACTATAATATCCAAAGAAATTATTCAGATCGGACTACTATAGCACACAGCTGGGACATACAGGTAGACTGACTCAAAATCAAGATAGAGGACTTACTATACTCATTTATGCTATAAAAAATGCAAATGTGAAGAATATTATAGCCTCGGTGCGGCTGTAGTTAACGTTTTTTCTTCTTTAATTCATTTTTTCAAAAATTATTTGTGCAAAAAGTGTATAACATACATATACCCACAGAAAGTTTATAGAAAATATTTGAAGCTTTATTTAGCTCCTTCGAATGACTCCGAGCGTGTTTCTTTCTTCGTATTATAATACCTTTTGATATTACTAGAAATGTGGTGAGTTTTTTCACTGGATTTAAAGATCAAAAACATAACAAGCTCAACGAGAAATAAATAGGTATTAGTTGGTTAAGCAGTTTCCTACACGAGCATTATTAATTAGTAGCTCCAGAAGAACTATTCAGAAGCATCATACAATTGTATATATTTTCGGAATATGACATATCGAAGAAAAAACTATAAAAGGTTAAAACACTCACGTTGCAATAAATGAAATCATTTCATTAAATGAAATCTTTTAAAAAAATGTTATGCCACTCCGGGAAGCTCTTCAAGGTACAAGTATAACTTTATAGCGGTATGCAGGTAGTAGTCTCATGTCATTATTATGTAGTGTTTTTTTGTGGTGAAGTCGAAGTGACTTTTTGGTATTCTAGATATTTTGTCTCATCTCTAATTGAGCCAAACTACTATTTATTTTGTTAGTTATTTTCGAATAAGTGGCTAAACCATTTTATGAAGATGGAAGAAAACATTGCAATATTTTTCAATCTATTAAAGAAAAAAAGAGGAGAAAAGGAAGTAACACATCAATAATTGTATTTTTAGTGAATAAACTGCGATTTGGTGCATTTATATATATACAATAGATAGGAAGAAACCCGTTTTTCTACGAGGAAAATACGTTAAGGAAGTTCTTTCGCATTCCGAAGTCGCTATGCTGGGACCTGGAATTGCAATTAAAATAATCAACAAAATTCGATCACTGCATTTGAGCTTCTAGTTAGTTATGTTCATGTTCATCTATGGATGGGAAAGCTGTTTGTAAAATAAAATCAATTGAATTTGCCTTTGAACTTTTAATAACAAGCTGATCTGAGAATAGTCTAGGTGCAATTTAGTACGATATAACAACTTGTAAAAGTAATAATACTAGCCTTAACTTGATTGAGTCTGGGGAAAATATTTTAAAAAATATTAAAAATTGTAAACTGTTTCGCCTTATTCTTGCAACCGTCCTAAATAAACACCAAGTTTATGAGATTTCGCTGAAATAATTATGATTACGAAGGTTGCCATGCTTCGTTTTTTCATACTCATACATAAATAAGTTTCCGTACTCAAATACTAATTAAAGCGATTATTGAGTCAAAAGGAGAGAAAAATTGTACAATTGTATTTTTGACGGTACTTTGAATTGCAGCGAATATATGTAGACCATATTCATTATGATTTAAATCTTCATCCTCCTTCGTAATAAAACAAAGGAAAGAATGAACGCAAATTTGGATATAATATATTTATATTATGACGAACCACTTAGCTTAAGCCAAATGGAAGATTTAATTACTCTTGAAATTTTTTGCATATAATCGTTATTATGACGCAAACTTTTACAGACCCTCTACTAGTTCAACAAATTTAGTTTGTACAGGCTTTAAATACTATTAATTACTTCACGTGAATAATATTAGTTTCATTAAGCCTAATAAGTTAGGTTAGGTTACACTGGTTGGCTGTCACGCCATACATAGACCTACAAGTTCTTTGTAATACCAGATGGAGGTTCATTTTAATGCGAGTTGAAGTTTACACCACAAAGGACGTCAAAGCTTTCTGCAAAGTTTAAGAGCACTTGGTATCTTATTCTGGTACTTCATCTAGCCGCTTGAACTACATAGTTTCTAGATATCTAAGATGAGTTCTAGATAAGGCAGGACAGAAGCAGAGGAGCTGTTACAGCGTCTCTCTCAGACTACTTCTCTTTTTCTTCTGCAGGTATTATGATAATAATGCCCATACGGCTCGCATTTGGTGATAGTAAGTTGTGATCCGTGATTAAGTCAGCAACCGTCCTGAATTATTTTCGCGATATTGTGAGTAAAAAGCATGCGTTGCACATAGTCTGCATGTCCTTTAGGCGTTTTATCGCACCCTCATCTGTCTGTCAGCTCTTTTGAAACTTTCATTCTGCATCGTTTTTATTGACTTGCATATTTCCTCTACTAATTTGGTAGCCAGCCTATCTTTAGATAATCTTTTTTGAAAACTTTTAATTATACCCTGAATAGGGTTTTTTAAGTTTATATAAATGATCAGCATGATGAGCCGAGTTGATTTAGATTTGTCCGTCTATCTGTCCGCCTGTCTGTATATACACGTACCTCGTATATATACGTCGTACGTACTAGTCCCTCAGTTTTTAAGCTATCCATATGCAATTTTGCACATGTTCTTTTCTGCTGATTTGTCGAAACGGCCCATATCAGACCACTATAACATATAGCTGACATACTGAACGATCGGAATAAAGTGCTTGTATGGAAAAGTCTTTCATTTGACGAGGTATCTTCACAAAATTTGGCATGGATTATTACTTAAAGCAACGATGCAATGTTCGAAGAAATTGGTCATACAAACTGAACGATCAGAATCAAGTTCTTGTAAGGAATCTTTTGTATTTGTGAAGGGTATTACAGCTTCGGTGCAACTCGTTTTTTTAATATATAAAATGTCTATACGTTTATTAAAAATGCTTTTCATTCTAGAAATCACACGTAAACTCGGAAATAGGTTGATTTAGCAGCGAAACACTCTAAAATTATATGGATACTTTAATTACCAATCACTTCTTCTGCATAACAAAATTATATTATATATAAGAAGTTGTTCCGCTCAAGAAGAATAAGAACAAATTGAGAATCAGAGTATTGTTTAGGTTATGTAGATTTCTATATAACTATGGATTTCGTAATTTTAAAATATTTCAAGCAACATAGAATTCAGATCACTTATTGGCATAGGCATATAAAAAACATATAGGGTGAGCTATATTTTTGTCTGTAAATGAAAACATACTGTGAGTCTAATGGCCGCCTTTATTGCATATAGCAAACTGAACTCTTGCTGCTGGGTTTTTCATTACTTTTTCGTGCATTTCGGTTAGTCTAACGATGATTTCGGACCTTACCTTCGGTCTTGAGCTTATCAATGGTTTGAGGATTGCTGCATAACTCCAATATTTGAAATAAGTCCGCAAAAAAATTTATTGAGTCAAATGTGGAGATATAGATGGTCAGTTAATGTCACTTCTTTAAGGTATCCGACATCTAGAAATTTTTATTTCAAAACCAGTATAGATCAAATATGGCCCGGTGATGGTTTGGTTAACCAACTCGATCGGTTAGTAAAGTAAATTTTAAAGTTATTTACTGTTTGGGCAACAAAAAAAGATGCAACACCCTGTATATTAACTAAAATATATACATAAGTTATCTTGGTGAAGAAATTTTCGACACCTTTTTGGTGTTGAACGTCTATAGCAAGAAGATAGCTAAGTTAACTGAACGAAAAGGAATATCTATCAATTAGATGAAGAGGGGAGGGAGGGAGATATGGACACACCTTGAAACCTTTAACCTTGAAATTTTGAAACATTTCGCTGGCTATATATTATTCCGGCCTACATCTTCTTACATCGTATCAGATATCTATTGCAAAGTCTACCAGGTGGAGGAAAATATGCATATTCTAGAGTTTGAAGTTCTATGTGATATTTCTCTTTAACCTAACATTATTTAGCCTATTTAGTAACGAAAATAATAAAAACTATATAAAGTTATCGCTGTAAAGGAGAGACCAACCGGGTGACGTCACCGAACCAATTCGTCTCGTCTTTCCAATC